CAGCATTGTCAATTATGAACTCTTGGTGTGTTCTTATTTGGTGAATCTGGTGATGCAATTCTGCTGTTGGTTCGAGGTCACGACTATCTGGACTCGTATGTATGATGCTGTTTGATGCTGAAGTTCGCTATCGCTCATCTTCCTTGCACATTTATATTGCATGCTTGTTTGTGCTGAATCATGTCTGTGCGAGTGTGTTTGAATAGTTTGGTTCTAGAATTTGGGCGGTTGAACTGAATGATGAGGTCAGTTTTCAAAACTGGTTTGCATTTTCCTTGATTCGTCTTTCTTTACGTTGATGTGTGTAATCTGGTGTGTGTTGATCCTCGTTTGTGTGCCTGTGTGTGAATGGCTTGGTTTTGGGATTAGGGACCAGTCTCAAAGGATTGTTAGCTATGTTGAGCTAGCGTGAACCTCATATGTATCTATACCACAATCCTGGATACATGGGGGAATAAAAGGCAGATGTGGGGCAACTGTGGTCAGGTGGGACCTTTTGCTTAAGTTCAGGTTGACAGTTCTCGAACTGAAATCTCTGATCCCATGGTGTATTCTCCTTGCAGAGCGACCCGCGGCTTGAGTGTTTGAAGAGCCGCATTGAACTGCTTCGTGATTTCCGGACACAGGTATGCATTCCAAACATTGAAGGCTCACTCCAGTCCGACAAACCTTGTTTGATTACATTCTGATTGTACAAAGGTGTGATGTGGGAGCATACGGCACACTGGTTCTTGTTTGCACAGGGCTTACCACCTGTGTCCAGTCATCGCTGAGGAAAAGGTGCTCATATTTCAGCAGACGTAAGTGAGCAGGTGCGATGTGGCAACTGAATAAGGGATATACCTGTTTCAAAGTCAATGTTGCTTGCTCTGCCTTCTGTTCATGACTGTGATCCCACTTGTAAGTTGGCATTCAAGTCGGTGGCAAGCTTTTGGAGGCAAAATAACTCATTTGACTCGAATGCCAACTTACCGAACACCTCATCAACTCGCAGAATTCCAGAAAAGAGGAGCCAGCTTATTTCAATCAGTACTCTAGTGCAAGGAAAATGAGTGATAGCGAACTTCAGAAATCAAACAGCATCATACACATGAGACCAGATAGTCGTGACCTCGAACCAATAGCAGAATTGCATCACGAGTTCCACTAAATAAGAGCACAGCAAAAGCTCATAATTGACAAAGCTGGAATAGTCTCGTCATCATCAAAGAACCAATGTCGATATCCTCTGGCGCTTGGCGCCCAGATTACAGATGGCACATCCTATCTAGCCTATCTACAATGCCGCTGATGACGTCAGATCTCGGCCAATGCCGTTCGCCTCAAGCACCAGGTATGTCCCTCGTATCACTCACAACCTCGATCCCCAACTCACAGATGCCACATGCACCCAAGAACCACCATGCGCCCCATCTTGCCCGTGAGCGCGTGAGCGCTGGCTAGCGTTAGCGCAGCATGCAGCCAGTTCCCGAATGCCGAATGTGTGGGCAGGCACTTTCCTAAATGGAAATGCCTGCCTGCTTGCGTGCAGCCTGGCTGCGCTGGGCCCCTGCCCAGAAGCTTCCGGTCGGCCCAGAGAGGCTGAGCCCCAGTCCAAACGAATTCAGGCCCTGGGCCTGTGGTGGTTGCCCGTGTCCAACTGCCCGCGGCCTGTGTTCGGCCCATGTTGCGAATCTGGCCCAGTGCCTGCCTCAGTTACATTCGAAAGAGGCAGCGTGGGCATGGGCACTCTCAACCAACTGGCGCTGTGCAACTGCCTGAATTTCCCCAGTTGCGTGGTGACCCCAAAAATGGGCCTGTAGACCTTGGTCGCGCCTGCCTTCACTTAGGGCGGCGACTGTACTGAAAGTAGGGCCCAGTAGGGCGTATCGAGGCCTTGAGCCCCGCATTCCCTCCTCCATACTTCGACGGTCCTCTGAGAAGTCCCATTTCTCAATCTGGCGCTTTCCTTTCTGTAGTGACTTCTCGTAGTGTGCGACAGCCTGTGGAGCGGTCTGCATCAGTTCCTCCCTGGTAAACCATCTGTCCTCCTTAGGATCAGTGTGATGTCTGAACCGAACGTGATACTGCAGCTTCGACTTAGGCGGACGTCCCCTGCCTGTTGGTCTTGGAACCGGCATTTCTCTATGGTCCACGATGTCGTCAATGTCGACCTCTCCATCCATAGTTGGCGGCAGCATCGAGCGTCGCGAGGGAAACTATTCGGTTTCCAATGGTGCAAGCTTAGAGGCGTGGAAGACAGGGTAAGTGCAAAGATGACCAGGGATTCGTTTTACATATGATGGCCCATCCGGATCCTCCCCAACAATATCAAGAACCTCCCAAGGTCCAAAGTACTGTGGCATGACCTTGCGGGATATCCCGTGCTCCTGTCCCAGTTCGGAGACTTGACCCAGACTATGTCCCCTACCTGAAATGTTGATGGGCGGTGGTGCTTGTTCTCAGACTCTATCATTGCTGCTTGGGCCTTGTGCATCTGTTTTACCGCGTGCTGCATCAACTGCTCATATCGATAAGCAAATTCTAACATTCCAGGTGCAGCTGTCGGCTGATTCTCAGGTAGCAGGAAGTCTAGAGGCAGTCTAGGCTTAAAAGCCAGTAGCAGGCTGTTAGGACTCACCCCTGTTGCGCTGTGCACGACATTGTTGTACAGGCTGGCTATGAGAGCAAGTTTCTCATCCCAGTCCACCTGATTGGGCTTAATGTAATGCCGCAACATGTGTTGTACAGCGCGGCTCAGCTTTGCTTGGCCATTTGCCTCTGGATGGTTCCCAGAAGTCATCTGCAGCTGTGTTCCCTGTTCTGCAGCTGCAGCCTTCCACAAATCACTCGTGAATCTGACATCCCCGTCACTCACAATAGACTTTGGCAGTCCAAAGTCTCTGACCCAGCTCTCTTTAAACAGTTTGATCACATACTCGGTTCTAGTTGTAACAGGCATTGCAACTAATCTAGCATACTTACTAAACCTATCCACAATGACATAGATATATCTCATTCAACTCTTGCTGGTGACCAGAGTGTCCATGAAATCCATAGACAGGCTCTCGCCGGGCCTTTTCGGAATCGGAAGGGGCTTGAGAAGCCCAAGAGGGGCCTGTGTACGTGGCTTGTCTCTCTGACACACCTGACAGGTCTCCACGTACAACTTCACATCTCTCATCATTGTGGGCCACCAGAACCCCTGCAACAGATTTGCTGCAGTCTTTCTATACCCAAAATGTCCAGTGGTATCATGACACTCGCCTAAAAATAAACTACGCAAAGACTCCCGATTAGGCACACAAAGACGTTTATTCTCGGGCTTCTCAAGGAACAACAGACCATTGATCAACTCAAACTCCTTAGACGAAGCTTTATCATTCGCCTCGAGTCTACGTATGATCTCTCACATGAATGGGTCATCGGGAAAGGCTTGCACCAAAGACTGGGTAACATCGTCCGCAAGCCCAAATTCAGTGACCAGAGCACCGAGAAAATCTGCCCTACGCGACAGCGCATCAGCAACCTTGTTGTACTCCCCCTTGATGTACTGAAGTTCGAAGTCATACTGCTCAATGACTTCGATCCAACGCTTCAGAGCGTCGGAGAGTACCGGTCGAGTCTTCATCCATCTCAGAGTCATGACATAGAAGAAGTGACCTAGGAGGTAGTGCCTCCAATTGGTTAGCGCTTTGTCGATAGCATAGAGCTTCTTCTCATAGGTGGACTTGGCCAACTTTTGAGAGGGCATCTTTTTGGACATGTACTCTACTGGCCTCAACTTTCTCCCCTCCTGCTACGCAAGTACGACGCCAATGCCATATTGGCTGGCATCCGTAGTCACAACGAAAGGTTTGTCAGGATCAGGAAGTTTCAAGACCTCATGGTGTGTCAACGCATGCTGCAGATGTTTGAAAGCAGCCCCACACCAGCCTCATCCCTAAGAAGGACCTCATCTCAGTCACAGACCGAGGACGCGGCCAGTCACGAATGCTGGCCACCTTCGCGTCATCGGGCTTCAAACCCTCCGCGGAAATCTCATGACCCAGGTACAAGATCCAGGCGCGGCCAAACTCACACTTATCTCGGTTGATCTTGAACTGGTGCTTTCTGAGGAGGTTAATGACTTTATCTAAGTGCGCTACATGCTCCTCGACGGTCCTACTAAAGAGAAGTATGTCATCGAGGTACATGATGACAAACTTGTAGTCATGAGATATCCGGTTCATCGCATGCTGAAAGGTGCCAAGAGCATTGCAAAGGCCGAAAGGCATCACCACAAACTCGTACGTACCGTACCTGGTTCGAAATGCGGTTTTGTGTTGATCCCTAGGCTGTATTGCAATCTGATGGTACCCGGACTTCAAATCTATCTTACTGAAGTACCGACACCCTTGCACCGATCCAACAAGTCGCCAATGCGCGCTAGGGGCTCAACGTTCTTCACTGTGATGGCATCGAGGCCCCTATAGTCAATGCACATCCTCAAGGTCCCCCCCTTCTTCAGTACAAATAAAACTAGCAATCCGTAAGGGGAGACACTAGGCCGGATCCAACCCTTCTCTATGAGATCCTTGAGTTGTCGACGAAGCTCATCGAGTTCACCTGAAGACATCCGATAGATCCTACCCTTCGGAATGCTAGACCCAGGGATAATCTCTATCGCGTGGACGACCACCTTCTCAACAACCCCTTTCGGCTCTTCGAATAGATCAGGGTACCTAGTGACCACTCCCTCTATCTCTGGAGGTGTTTTCACCGGCTTACCCTCTGTAGAGATGTAAACTAAGTACATACCCTCCTCCAGATTTTGTTTATAATATTTGCAGAACGCGGCCGCACACATGCATTAGTAGGACTCGATCAGACTACTAGCCTTGAACTTACGTAATCTGGCGGTCCCCCCTTCGGGCAAAGTGTGTTTGACCACTTTTTTGTCCCAGTCAAACTGGGGCTGTGCAACCGAGAGGTAGTACCGACCTAACAAAATATCCAAGGGAGATCATCGCTGACTAGGAACGAGACTTTCCGCGTATGGGAAAAGACACTCATTGTCTTTGAGGTAGTCGACTACCATGCGCTGTTTGTTGGCACAAGTCGACTCAGGCGCTGCACTTGCCCCTCTAAGCGCAGCCTCTCAACGCACGCGCGACTAATGAAGTTCCGTGTCGAGCAAGTGTCATAACAGGCCCCGGCCTTACGGCCGCCGATGACTACCTTGCCGACGAACAACTCACCCTTAGGGGCTTTGGCCATGACCGTCCAAGAAGCTAGCGGGTCCGATCTAGACCAGTCCTCCTCTAGCTCCTCTAAGGACTCGAACACATTCTGCGAACAGAGGATCGTTGGGTCTGAATGTGTTTGCAGGACGACGATGGAGTCAGTAGCTTGGGTCATCTCTCGGGATGGTGCGGGTGTGTCCACCACCTCGACCCTGGCAGGAACAGCTACTATTCCTACTGGCCTGACGTGTTTCCTAGAGCAGTGCCAAAACTGCTGGCCGCATTGCTACCTACGGGAGCGGAGGATCCCAACGCCTGCCCCATCATAGGCGGGATCTTCTCGGTCACCTTCTTGTTGCGACACTTGAATTGGTTATGGCCATATTGACCACAACGAATATAGGCCTGCTTGGTGTACCGGTCTCTCCACAAGTCCTCTGTAAGACCCACTTTCTCCCATGGAGGAGCATTGGGGTCAACTTGACTCCTAGACCGGGAGCCTCCACGGTGTCTACCGATCGCCTTACCTTTTTGTACTGAGGCAGTGACTACTCCACCCCCTGAAGCCTCTACGCTGCCCACCTCTGTACCTACTCCCTCCTGGAAGTCGTCTTCTAACTCGATGGTAGAACCATCGTTGTCGACGAACATTATGCGGCCTTTCGCCTTCCAGTTGGGAGGCAGTGCCTTCTTCCTACCGTCCGTCGTGGGTGTATGTCGATGCCCTATCTTTGCCTCTCGGTCTAGGGCCTTCTTGCTGAACGAGGGAAAGTTGTGCATATTGATGTTGGCCTCACCTGCCAACTGATTCCTGAGAGGCAAAGGAAAACATCTCGGGTATGCAGTGAGTAAGTCCTGGGGGTCATAGCGTACTCCAGGAACACAGATCAGACGCTCTACTATGTTTGTGGCTTCCCTTACTGACTTGAACTGCCTGTTGTTCAATGACAGGATCAGGTCAGTGGCCTTTTGGGGCCTCCTAAGGATCATGCCGCCTATCTTCCACCAGCTTAAGGAAGTCTTGCAGTTTCTGGTTAACTGCCCAAGCTGTTACGGACTCTGCCAGGGTTCGATCCCTAGTCTATCTTTTTGTTGTTTCTGTTGCATCCCGTTTTCGGCTTGGCACCCTTTTTCCAACCCCCTCCTTTGGTACCGTAGGATTTTGGACAACTGGCGCCATGCTGCAATTCGGGCGCCACTTTCAAATACYGCATTTTTCAGTTCTGCCCTCGTGGCCTTTGCAGAAATGCCCCTAGTACCGTATGTGTCACCGATACTTATACCGGCTCCCCGTACGGTACGGGGACCAGTCTCGTACCAGTTTCCAGCTGCTGTACTCGTACTCAGGGTGACTTGCTGTTTCGGCATTCGGGAATCCAAGACTTCGACTTTGTGCCTTGGCCATTGCGTCTGCGTCCGACCCTTAGTCGTGTCAAGTGAGTGAGTGTGTGTGTGCTCTCACTCTCTCCCTCTCTCTCTCCTGTCCCTCGCGTGCCACATCATCATTGTCATCGTCGAGATCGTTGTCATCGTTATCATCGAGACCATTGCCATCGTGCCACGTCATCAGCATCATCGTCACGTTGGTCGTGGCCGTGCCACGACATCATCATCGTCGTGATCGTCGTCATCGTGCCACGTCATTATTGTCACCATCGCAATCGTCGTCGTCGTGCTACGCCATCATCGTCACCGTCGCGATCGTCGTCGTTGTGCCACGTCGCCATCGTCGTGCCTGTCGTCCTCGTCGCCGCGACGTGCCATCCTCGTCATCGTCATTGCTACCTCCGCGCAGATAAGTAATCGACGACAATTTTCTTTTTTATTTTTTTTTACTCTTTTTCTTCTTCTTCTTCTTCTTCTTCTTCTTCTTCTTCTTCTTCTTCTTCTTCCAATTATCTTCTTCTTCTTCTTTCTCTTCGTTCTTTTCTTCTTATCTTCTTCTTCGTCGTCGGAGGAGGAGGAAAGGGCGGTAATAGTTGGCAAGGTTGAGGAATGAGCGTAGTTGGAGTAGGGTCTTGGGCGAGGGGTACTCAACGAGGGCAATGACCTTCGAGGGGTCCATGCGGATTCCTTCAGCAAAGACGATGTGACCAAGGTATTCTACGCAGCAAGGTGCATTTGCTGAGCTTGGCGTAAAATATTTGCTCTCTGAGGATAGAGAGGACTTCGGCGAAGGTGTTAAAGGTGGGACTCGGAGGTGGGGCTATAAACAAGGATATCATCAAGGTAAACGACAACGTAGACTTCGAGGAGGTCGCTCGAGAGAATATAAATTCTGAAAAGACACTTTTCCTGCGGGAAGCGCTGCCAAAATTTTCTTTGTTTAGGGGAGTTAGGTTATAATATGATAAGAAAGGGTTTGGCAATCCATCATGAGTAGGGGAGGTGCTGCCAAAAATCTTACGTTCCTTAGGCACTTGCGTAAATGTAGATTTAGATCTAGTTATGAGAAAATTTGAACGAGGCATGGTATGAAGATTATTCTCCATATACTTATAAGCTTAGTTGGGCATTGGCTTGTCTTGTGTTACAGGTCCTCCTTTGATCGAGTCGATTCAGGATTGGACTAGTTTCAACATGATCTCACGAGGATCATCTTCGGTTATCACGGATAACAGGTCGGTTGCCGATTCGTCGATTTACGATTCAACTCCAATTCATTATCGCCACTCAACCTAAAGGTTTAGCCCTGTTGTTTTTATCGAGTGGCCATTTAACAAAGATACTGAGTATTTTATTATGGAAGGTTGGACAAAGGTTGGGGTTTGTGTGGGTAAAGCGATGGGCGTGAGCGCAGAGAGTGATTGAAGATGACCCCGTTAGTGTGTGGACTTTAGTTGAATCTTTGATGTGACCGAAGGTATGTTTGTGGTCCGAACCTGGATTTGACTGCCTGCGATCACACATATATATGGTTGGAGGAGATTTAGATCTAGTTATGAGAAGATTTGAACCAGGAATGGTCTGAAGATTATTCTTCATATACTTATAAGCTAAGTTGGGCATTGACCCGTCTTGTGTTATAGGTCCTCCTTTAATCGATTCGATTAAGAATTGGACTAATTTCAGCATGATCTCACGAGGATCATCTTCGGTTATCACGGATAACACGTCGGTTGCCGATTCGTCGGTTTACGATTCAACTCCAATTAATTATTGCCACTCAACCTAAAGGCTTAGCCCTGTTGTTTGATTTGTTTCGTTGGGTTTTCACCCGGACTTTATTGAGTGGACATTTAACAAAGATACCGAGTATTTTATCATGGAAGGTTGGACAAAGGTTGGGGTTTGTGTGGTTAAAGCGAGGGGTGTGAGCACAGAGAGTGATTGAAGTTGACCCCGTTAGTGTGTGGACTTTAGTTGAATCTTTGATGTGACTGAAGGTATGTTTGTGGTTCAAACCCTGGATTTGACTGCCTGAGATCACACATATATATGGTTGGAGGAAGTCACAATGTGATTGTGATAAGTAATCGTCCCACGTCTAATAACCCTTTATATATATACATATAGAGTTTTCCATCTGGTGTGGGTGAGTGATAGTCTACTTTGATTTTGGTTAAGGTGGATTATCACTTACAGTGTAATCAGTGAGGGGATTCTACAGACTGTTGAGGGTTCAGCCTCCTGATGAGTCGGTGAAACTCCGACGAAACAGTTTGTCACAGCCCCTCGTTTGTTGTCGTCTTCTCCCTCTCTGCCTACGGTTTACCGGGCAGTTCTATTTGACGATATATATATATATATACCTCTAGTGTTACCTCGAGTGTTCGCGTTGCCTACTATGATCGTGTATAAGGATTAAACGGAATATCCCGTTGAGAGAGAAGGGATACCTCGTTTATAATATGCTTTTAGAATTATTATAGTTGGACGTTGGAGTCCGTGGCAGACGTCAAAGTCAAACCCCTTGACTTCTCCATGATGGAGCTCGTTTCCAGGGCGATAAAGCCCGACTTCGACAACAGGCGGGAGCCTGTGTACCACCCACTCTCCACAGGGCGCAAAACAGGGTGTGGTTTTCAACCGCCTTGGCGGTAGTCTAGCGTCGAGAGATTAACCCCTCAAGGCGCGTGTCAACCGACACTTATCGCGTATGTTTGTATGGCTCGTCGATATGAGAAAGCCCTGCGTTCGCATGACATTATTGTAAGTTTCGTGCACAACGCCGAACCAATTTTCGTATCAAAAGGTTATGGATTGGACACTAAAGGGCCTAGGAGTGTTTTGTTTGAGTGTGTATTTTGATTTTATGTTTTTAGCGTGGTGTAACGTGTGGTAAGTAGGATGCGTCCTAGTCGACTGACGACGAATCGCCCTTGGGACTTCAGCCCCCCCAATGCGTCGGTTCGCATATTAGTCTGATAGAGGCGTGGGACCGCGCATACCCCCTATGCTACAATGTACGAGAAACGCCCTCGGTTGGGCCACCTCTACGATTGCAGCTGATTAGCTTTCGCACGTGATTCAGTAGCTCCATTGCATCGCGTTAAAGGAAAAGAGTCCTGCCACAAATCCTGCATGACGCGGTAGGGAGGGTCCCCCTCCGGGACCGATGCGCTCGACACTGTTTTGTCCAATGTGTGTGTGAGTTGTGGCAACACATCCCCGTCGGGAGGTTCCCCCTACGGACAAACTCGATCAAGCTCCCCCCTCCGACCCCGCCCTCACCAACATCCTCAACATGTTCACAAACTTTTTCCCGAGTCCTTGCCTTCCGGATTACCCCCGGATCGTGGTGTATCTCATTTGATTGATCTGGAACCCGGCCATTCTCCGCCGTTCCGCCCTCCATACCAACTCTCCGTCCCTATAGCCGAAGAAATTGGAATGTGGCAGGGGCGTTGGTGAGTCCGAAGGGTGCCCGAAGCGAGAACGGAATGCGGTTTTGTGGGTGTTTTCCTTGCGGATGCGGATCTGGTGGAAGCCACTGCGGAGGTCAATCTTGGTAAAATATTTGGCTCCACGGAGGCGATCAAGACGCTCGGAGATCCGAGGTAAGGGGTACTTGTTCTTGATCGTGATCCGATTCAAGGCGCGGTAGTCTGTGCACATCCTTAGTTCTGAGTTTCCACCTATTTTTACAAAAAGGCAGCTTGTACCGAAGGGGGAGGAGCTTAGCTTAATGAATCCGTAGTAAAAATTTGGGGAACATCTCCTTTAGAGAAGACTTCCCAGATTTGTACTAAGTCAGATAAGAACTCGAAATAAGACTTTGAGTTCTATCAAGACAAAATTTTATCAAGACAAAATTTAACTAACTCCTTAAATTTCAAGAAATTTTGGCAGCGTTTCACCTAGAAAAGTGTCATTCCAAAATTTATACAAAGCTAAATACATATCCAGAAATGGTTCCGACTTCTCAAAGTGAAATTTTGTCTAAATTCCAGAATTAAACAAAAACTGAGCAGCACTTCCCTAGAAAGGAAGGCTTTCCATATTTTTTACTAAGCCAGATATGAACTTAAACAAAAGCTTGAACTTTGAAAATCCAGAATTTGACTAACTCCTTAATTTCATAGAAGTTTCGGCAGCACTTCCCGTAGAGAAAGTAACTTTCCAAAATTTATACGAAGCTAAGTAAAATAAATTATCCCTGAAAATGCGAGAATTGACCTAAGTAAAAAAAGTTAGCTAACAAATATGCAGGAATTGAACTAACTCATGTGGCGAGCAACTAAAGCAACTACCTATCTAACTCATGCCAAGTAAAACTCTCACTCAGCTATATGCAATTCCAAACCACAACAGTAAGTACTCTCACGCAGTCCCAAAGTTGAACCTCGTGAACAATAGTTCATAGTCTTTCAATGAATTATCCCTTATACCCAACTTACATAAGGCGTAAAGCTAGACCGTTCAACTTAGAAACAAAGTCTAGCTCAACCATTGAATATACATAGACACAGGGCACAACAACTTTTTTTCTTCTTTGGGCATGTGACTAGGTCATTCAACTTAGAAACAATGCCTAGTCGTCCTTAATTATATATATCTTTCTCCACTTAATCTTTGAAGGTAGCATGTGACTGAACCATTCAACTTGGAAACGAAGTTCAGCCTGCCCCTTCTTACCACCAATTTATACTCTTAATTAATATTGTCTTCATTTGTGAAACAAAGTTTGACTCTACGTAGCACCGTAATTCGCGTTCGGAGGCGAACACGAACATGTTCGCCCGAACATGAGCAAGCGCCCAAAAACCTTTGAACGCGAACATTAAAAAAATAGAAAAGAAAAACTCGAAAAAATATGAAAAAAATATATGTTATGTAAAGTAACAATGCAAGCAACTTTTGCCTTGGAGTCATGTTCAAATTCGTAGCCAATCATGAGTTAAAAATCCAAGACCGAAAAATATATATGTATGTATCTTTTTACGAAAACAATATTATGTTCGCCCGAACATGTTCCCGAGTTGTTCACGCGAACGTGCGAACACGTTCGCGCGAACATGCAGGGGCGCAAATACGTTCGTCGTGCTACGCAGGTCTGACCGGCCTGTTCATAAATAAGATAATAATACAGTATAGATAAATTTATCCTTTGGTTCCAACATGTGCGTGGCTCTCTTTGCCATTCAACTTAGAAACTAAGTCTTGTCCTTTGTCCGAATAAACATGAAGGAAGTTCGAGCCGTCTAACTTCGGAACAAAGCTCAAACACCCTCTTTCAGAAACAATAAAGAAACATTTGGAGGTTGGGCCATTCAACTTAGAAACAAAGCCCAGTCACGCTCAAGAAGCCTTGAAAATAAATCAAGGTGACCAAATCATTCAACTTAGAAACAAAACTTGGTTCCTGAAAATGCAGACACATACAACCCTCGCAAGTAGGAGCAACCAGACCATCCAAGTTAGGAACAAAGTCTGGTCGTCCAGGTATAGAACATATCACTGGGCCATTCAACTTAGAAACTAACCCCAACCTTTGGTTGACCTGGTCGATCTCAAGCAAAACCACCGTCCTCCTGCCTTCCCCCAATGCAGAACCCCTTTTTCAATCCGAGTTCAGACAATCAACAAAAATGAAACTGAGATTGCACATACATTCGTTTACTTGAGTCTGCTGGATCGTGTGCAGGGTTGCAAATACTTTACGAAAATTAATTTGAAATCTGGCTACCATCAGATTGAGGTAGAGCCAGAAGACCAATATAAAACTGCCTTTCGAACGAGGTATGGGCACTATGAGTTCATTGTGTTGCATTTTGGTCTTACAAATGCCCCTACAAGCTTCCAAAGAACTATGAATGAACTCTTTCGCGAGTAGCTTGATAAGTTTGTCATTTTTTATTTGGATGATATTTTGGTTTTTAGTAAAGATTTGAAAGAACATTCTGAGCACCTTCGACTTGTGCTTTGATGGTGAGGCAAAGTTAAAACTAAACCCAAAGAAGTGTGAATGGGCTAAGCGTAAGGTGTTATATCTAGGGCATGTACTTGATGGTGATGGAATCAAACGAGAAAACACGAAAATTGCGGCAATTTGCGATTGGCCTAACCCCCTCACTTTAACTGAGTTGCGGTCGTTCCTTGGGCTAGCCAATTATGATCGAAAATTCGTAAGGCATTTCATGATAATAGCCGCGCCCCTTCGCAAATTACTCAAGAAAGAAACGATCTGGAAGTGGGATTCCGACTGTACATCTTCGTTTAAACGTCTGAAAAAGTGTCCGATTAATTATCCGGTTCTGAAGGTTGTCGACCCTTCCTTGCCCTTTGTCGTTACAACTGACGCCAGTCAATATGGGATAGGTGTTGTACTCCAGCAAGATGACGGGAATGGATACAGACCTGTAGAGTTTATGTCCTGACGACTGCCTAACGAGGACGTCGCCGCTTCCACATATGAGAGAGAGTTGTTTGCTCTCAGAAAAGCCCTTGATCATTGGCGACATTATCTCCTAGGAAGGCATTTCAAAGTGTACTCGGATCATGAGACACTTTGCTGGCTTAAAACGCAGGCCCGGATGACACCTAAGTTGACTAGGTGGGCCGCTGAAATTGACCAGTATGACTTCGAGTTAAAGCCAGTCAAGGGTAAGTATAACGTCGTTGCTGATGCGCTAAGTCGAAGATCTGACTTTTTCGGTACCATTGTAACATATCTAGATGTGGGCACCGATCTGCAAGATAAAATTAGGAATGCGTATTCCACTGATCCTGTCTATGGCGCTCTGCTTAAGCATGTGCAGGACGCACCAGCAAAGTTTCCTAACTATCGTATCACACAAGGACTGTTGTTTGAAAGGACTGATGTGCATGACAGACTTTGTATTCCGAATGTTGAAGAGATCAAGAGTTTGATCTTAGGGGAATGTCACGACACCGAGGGCCATTTTGGGTGGAGGAAAACTTACGCAAACCTTTCACGTTCCTACACCTGGCCTCGTATGAAACCCGACTGCATTGCATATGTGCAGGGCTGTCAAGTGTGCCAAAGAAATAAGAGCACCACACAGCCTCCCCTTGGTCTACTGTGTTCGAACAGTTCGTTTAAGTGAAATGGGTGGAAGCCTTTGCCTATTCCAACAGGTCCAGGAGACTCCGCGTCCATTGATTTTATGGACACCAAGGTGAAAAGCAGGAAAGGGAAGACGCAAGTGATGGTAATCGTAGACAGATTCAGTAAGTATGCTGTTTTCGTAGCTTTACCGGCGGAAGCAAAAACATAACTGATAATCCGGGAGTTCTTTAACCATTGGGTGAAAGACTATGGGCATCCCTTGACAATCGTAACTGACAGAGACACAAGGTTCACAAGTGAACAATGGCAGCAACTCATGAATGTCTATGGCTCTAAGTTAACTATGTCGTCAGGTAGACATCCTGAGACAAACGGCCAGACTGAGCAAATGAACAAAATTCTGCAGCAAATGTTGCGCATGTATATCCGCCCCGGCCAGATTGACTGGGACGAACATTTGCCCAAAGTTGCTAGCGCCCACAATAACTCTGTTCATTTATCTACATGCAAGACTTCGATGGAGTTGCATCTGGGATGGCGTCCACACAGGCCTATCGATCGGCTAAACCCGGATCAAGTACATAAGCTTCCACTAGGGACTAGTGAATTTGCGATTCAGTATCAAAAATACATTGAAAAGGTAAAAGAAAACATTGTTAAAGCACAACATCAAATGATTGAGTAGGCAAATAAGCACCGAAGACCTTCTCAGTTTGTTGTAGGTGATCTGGTATGGGTTGAGTCTAAGGAGTTTATTCCCGAAGATAACATGTCCCAGAAGTTGCTACCAGCCTATAGAGGACCTTGGCAGGTTCTAGATGTGATTGGCGATGTGGATGGTCCTTCATATGTTATAGAGATTCCTCTACATCTGCATACGTATCTAGTATTCCACGCTTCGAAGCTCTGACCTTGCGTAACAAATGAGTTGTTTCCCAGTCGCAGATATGCGATACCCCCTAGTATGGATGGGAAATATGATGTGGACAAGATTGTTGCTGAAAGCACTTTCCAAACTGGACGTAGAGGCAGACCACAACGACAGTATCAGGTGAGATTCGCTTATCAGGATCCAAGTGAAAATCGCTGTTTCACACGAGAAGAAGTAATGGATTCTGCACCTCATATTGTGTCTGCATATGAAAGAGCAAGAAGAGGAATAAGTATTATAGATAGATGAAGATTTTCTCAGAGGACTTCGAAATTAGGCCGGAGAGAGTAAAAGGGCCTTTACCCGATTCAGACCCTGTTTGACGAATGCGGCATAGTGGGGTCACTCGCCCAGAGCCCAAGTAGTGAAAGCCGATCAAAGGACATGTTCTCTGGGTCAAAAGTCACATCTTAACTAAAGGAAAAGTCAGTGTCAAAGGTCACAGTTGTGCCCCTGGACGAACAATTGCAACATTCATATATGGGAGTCACATCTGTTCATCCAGAGGGTGTGCAAGTCATGTCTGTTCATACAGGAGGTGTGTTTGTATGTGCAGTATGTGTGTCTGTTCGTACAGTATGAGTGTCTGTTCGTGCAAAATGTGTGTCTGTCCAAAAGGAAGTCAAACGTCAGGTTTCCAGTTCTGTCTAGGTCTAATAGGGAGTCTAGATTCAGACACCCAGTCCGAAATCCAGGCCAGATGGCTGCAGCAGCAGCAGCCCCTGAAGGGAGAATACTGGGACACACACACATGCATGGGTCTGGGACTGAAGGAGGCCAAAGTGCCAATGCAGACCAATGCAGACCTCGCCAGGGGAGGCCAGCAGTATAAAGCAATAGGCCAGCCTCCCTTGAGATCAGATTCCCACTGGTATATTGGCGTGGAAGTTCTGTGTGCACTTGTGCGCTAACTGGCTGGGTTAGCGCTGGAGGAGAAGCTGCGCTGAGAGGAGGAAGAAAGCTGGGCGCTGGCTTGCAAGCGGCAGCCATATCTGCTCCAGCTAGTTAGTATAGGTAGTGGGTTAGTAGTTAGTCTACAGTGAGTAGCATTCAAAGTAGATCTTCGTAGTAGGAGTGTGCATGCATGGTGGGACAAGAGAATCAAGACTGAGATCCAAGAGAGAGAAGAGAGAGAGAGTGGGGTAGGATCTGGCTGTGGTGGATACTTACCTGCTGTGCGCTGTACTTGAGTTCTGAAGGTGGCGCTGGCTGAGCCAGGCCCCATTCGTGAGACGGAAAGAAGAAACTCGTGATA